CTATTATATACTCTGTCGTCTGTTCATAAAGCCGCCGCATACCGATCATCTAATGCAATCTATCAGCCACAACACGCTAAGTCCAGAATCCAGCAATGCCACCATTTGGGCGGCTTCTGCGGGCGAATTATCCATATGTTTTAGAAAAAAAACTTTTTTAGACGTCTCAAAGTCACAGTACACACACAGACAAAAACATGTTAATATATTTAAAGATAATAATGATAAAAACAATAGAATATTTTTCTATGGTTTTTAGTCCAAATCCTAGTTGAAAGTTGAGTGGGAGATTCGAACCTGTCTGCCAAAAAGTTTTCGACAATTCATGTACTAAACTCATTTGAATGTGAAATCAGCCACCGCATACCGAGCTCCTCTCCATAGCTCGTTCGGCAACTTTGAGCTTCCTCATACGGCCAGCAGTGAAAGACCGTCTCAGTTCCGTATGTCATCAAAATATTAGTAATCTTTAATTATCAACATTGTTTGTGTTCCCACAAAATCGAGATAAATGTGTTTTTTTAAAGCGTCTGTGCGCGAAACTAGAAGATACAGGTTTGTTACGGCAACACCAAACGGCGCTTCCGCATAGATCGGGGCCCCCAGGGGCACCCAATTTCTGCCTCGTCACTTACAACTCCAATGGCTTAAGTACGTATGACATGAAAAATTATCAAGTCATTAAATCATTTACGAGCGACCTACTTTTTATTGTTACATTCACTTCTCTACAGGTTCATTTCGTTTATCTGCAAAAGTTAACATCTTCAGTGCAAAGACTAGTCTTTGCTAGTGCTGGCACTGAAAATAAAAATCAATCTTAAAAAAAATTAAGAGCAATCGCAGCATCTCTCGTAACAAATACGCATCGTTGAATGTTATTTGTAAGGTGTATGCTGTAAAGGATGCACTCTAGACTCGCCAAGCATTACAAAAAAAAATGTAGATAGATCTCAAGATTTTCGTGCCGTGAGGTCATCGGCCGCTTAGATTAGTTGCTAAAGGGTCTGGGCGCGTAACCAGAAGACAAAGGTTCGAATCCCGCACTGCCGAAAGATTATCTAGAAAAATTTACAATTTGATGTTGAAAGATGTTTATTTGTTTGTTACTTCATATCTTGTTATTATTTATAATACTAATACTTACAGTGTTAATATACACGTTCATGTTTCTATACCCTGCCTTTTTTAATGTTCCGCTAATTGGGCCGGTGTATATTCAACTTGACAAAAAAAGCAGTTTGTTGTTAAAGAAAATTATTCCACTAAACTAGATTCAAAATACACTACATACAAATAGCTTCTATTCACTGCAATGAGGCAAATAAAAGAAGAATAAAACAGCTATAAAAATCTGTATTGAAGAATATATAAATGTAATGTGTAGCATATAGTCTGCATTTTTTAACCACACTATAGACCACGAAATACAGAAAACAGTTTTCTCTATTATATCGCAAAATATAATCTCTTTGCGCAAAAAAAGTGATGAAAATCGTTGACCGCGTAATTGTTAGTAATAAGTAATAATTAATTTTTGGGAACAGAAAAAATTCACTGTATGCAGAATGGTTTATAAGTTCTAACGTTTTTCACCTTCAAAAATTCGTTTGTCTGTCTGGCCGTGTGGGAATTAGCATTGTCGTGGTGTACGATGATACGGCGTTTACGGTTATTTTTAAGCAGTTCGTCAATAACTTCCGGCCAAAAATAGTCGTTATAAAAAAAATAGTCTGTTAGTGTCCCACACCAAATTTGACGCTCCTTCGTTGAATCTGCCAAGCATGGCATTGCACCAAGTGGCGCGGTCTGTTTTTTAAGCCTGAGTCGAATTGTGTGGGATCCAACGCGAGAATAGCTTTCTCACACCCAAATGTTTGTGAACGATTGATTGTATTTGAGTTATACCTATGTCTAAGGATGCCTGAATTACATGGTAGGTCACATCGACGTAGGTCTGTTTCGATCATACGACATCGATGTTTTTGTTGTTCACAGCTATGAATTGGCGATCATCGCAAGATTCGTCACTGAGATTGACGTGAACGCGCTCGAACTCCACAAACCTATAAATAATCATCTGGCATCGTGCTTCATCCCCAAAAGCAGATTGAAGCCGAGCGAGGCTCTGCTGAACTTTCAACTTACACTTAAAATCGTAGAAAATCATACTATGAAAGTTTTCCAAAGTTAAATTCATGTTAAACAATTTTTAAAATGGCGCCACTATTTAAAAACAATTGACAGCAGTCAGGTGAAACAAACTGCACTCTAAAGCCTAAGAGTTCCATTTTCAAAATTTGTAATTACTTTTTAAAATTTATTTATGTAAGTTGCCAATTCCGGAAACCTTTAGTGTGACCTTGTGTAACTTTGAATAATAAGACGTATGCGTGCTTCGCATAAATTTACTTTGGGTTTTAGTGTTTTAGCTTTGATACGTGAGGGATGACAAGATAGCCTCGACCTCTTATATCGTGTAGCTGTTTATACACCTCTTCAAGCATCTTTCAAAGTAGCCAACGCCAAAAGGCACATTTTAATAATATAATAATAATAACATTTTATAATAATAATAACGTTTATTTGCGTAATAATAACGTAACGAGCCAAATTGTGCTTAACCAAGCTAACTTAGCTTCATTAAGCACTATTTGGCTCGTTATCGATAAAAGATACTAGGTAGAAACAAAGGTTTCCACTTAATATTTTCTTATTAATTTTAGTAGGTAAGTATCGAGTCCGTATTTATGTCCAATGTTGATGAGGGGATATTTGGTAGAAGATTGGACTTGAATACGGACTCGAAATAAGATAAAAAAAGGTTTCTGTTAATTAAAATAAAATTTTATTACTGGAATGAAATTTGTTTCTTGATTCTTCAGCCAACAGTTCTTGTCCTGCTGTACACGAGTCTGGAAATAATTAATAAAACAATATATATAAATTATTAATTAATAAAATAATATAATACAAAAATATTTAGTTAGTTTTCTAGCATACTCAGCGCACGAAATTAATTATATGAAGTATCAATATTACAGAGATTATGTTTCAAAATCCTGCAAAATTCACCTATTCCAACCCTTGCTCATTTATGTAGGCACACCATTCAAATATGTAAAACTTTGTGCCCCTACTCTTTCACGCAACATTTTATTTCTTTTTTTTTTTCATAGATAAACATTAACGTAGTTATCAATATGTAGACATTACAGTTGCAGCACATCACTAGCACACAATTTAAATGAGATAAATTTGTAAATTTTATTTTTTCTTAGACTGCTCTACTTACATATGGCTGCAAAATAACACTTTTAAGTGCTTACATGGGCTTCATCTAAGGGAAATCTCGCCATAAACATTCTTTTTTCAAGATTCGAATGATTTTTGCTCGATTTTCACCGTAATTAACCCTCTTTTAGGCATTTTGAATTAAAAGTACAACTCTGATGGATTGGATCTGGAACCTGTCTGGAACTAGTTTTCGTGAGAAAGTTTACTATTAACAATTTAAATTTACAATGAAATAAGCATTTACATTCAAAATACGCGGTGCGAAATTAAGTTTTGACAAACAACATGGCACTTCTTGTATTGAAAGAAGGAGAAACCGCATTGAGGAAGAGTGATAGCAATGTCCGCCATTATTTGCCGCGTAAAGTCCATAGAAAAATTTTTTGTTCCTAGTTTCGCCAGACTGTAATGTACTACGAATTTGCAGAACATCATTATTTACAAAAAAGTGTCGCCACTAGAAAAGGCTCTTTATTTGTATCTTGGTATTAATCCTAATAAAAATAAATTACTTCTTATTTAAAACTGTTTCAATATCTGCATATAACTTTTAGAATTATTAAATTCCGTTTGAAAGGTAAGTATCACAACTTTAAAAATGTTAGTATATTGTAATTTAACTATCCAAACAGCTTAGTGACTGACTTAGTAGTTGTTATTATTTGTGTAAATATTATGAATTACCTGGAGAACCTGGAGAGAAGAGAAAGCAGTGATCCGGAATAGAAAAAAAAGTAAAAAAAATAAGTTTGTAAACGATCGTGACACGATCTGTCTTACGCCTCTGTTTCGGGGCCGCCCGATTACCGACCGAGCAATTATAAAACTCTTTTTTTCGGCGAAATTTACCGTCATATTCAAATGATATTTTTCATTCCCTGAAAACAGGGATAAAAGGACATTCTAAAAATGAAACCTAGCTAGATCGATTTTTCGCCTCCGAATCGCACATACTAAATTTCATGAAAGTCGCTGGAGCTGTTTCCGAAATTCCGTTAATAATTATTTATAAATAAATAAAAGAAACAAATATCCCCAATAATAAGAAACTAAATAAAAAAGGCGGTATAGCTGTCGATTAAATGTCTGTATGGAGAAATTCCCAAGACAGACGTTTAAACGGTATTAAAATAATATGATTCAATATAATATAGTGAATAGTGTTTTGATTTGAATTTGTTTTGATTTCGTTTTATTATGTACTCATTTTAAAAGAAGTCCTTTAGCAAATTCACAGTATGAAATGTCACGTGCCAAGTTCAAATGTAAAAGGTGAATATAAGTCATTGTGCCAATTTTCCTTAACTGGTCACATAACTTAATGAAAACTTTTAGTTTTAGGACGGACTATACATGCATTAGCCAGATTTGGTGATGAATTATATTTGGAGTCTCTTGTTGACTGTATTCTCTTGCGAACATTGAACTCTGCAGAGTCAGCGTACGCCATGGTCAAATTTAATAAAAACTTCTTTTCGTATTTCAACTATAACTACTATTCCACTGAAGACAATGAAGGTTTAAAGTGTAAAATTTCAATGAAATCGGCCTTAAATAGTTTCAAATCTCCTGCGCATATGGACAAACAAGTGGAAAATTTAGAAATAAAGTTGGACCCTGAACAATGTAAACTCATCTTTCAATTTAAATGTAAACATGGAATAGTCAAAACACATTTTGTGTCTATTCTGGACTGTAAAGCAATGCAAGCTGTATATACAAAGGACTTAGTGCCGAACAGGTATATTTGTAAAAATATATATAATATATCTAATTTGTTATTGAAGCTTAACTTAGTTTTGTTTCAGAATAACTTCATCACAAAGAATTCTTTCTGAAGCAATAAGCAACTTTCAAAGCTCTGATGATCAAATCACATTGGAGGCATCAACAGAATCTTTATTTCTACGTAATTATATTGGTGGTGAATGTATTGACTTATCAAAAATTATAAGGACCCAAATCAATATAAAAGCACCAGAGTTCGATAGTTACACAATAGGTATTTGTACCACAGTCACATTCACTATGAAGGAATTTAAAGCATTACTAGCATTTGCAGAAAGTCTTAGCCTCCCTCTTCAACTACAGTTTGAGACAACTGGCAAACCAATTGTCTTTATAATCCATAATGGCACAACATTTGAGGCACACTTTGTTCTAGCAACATCAAAACCTGATAATCCTACACAGACCACATCCACACAGCATAGTGCACCGGAAGTTGAACGAAGTAAAAGAAAAGATTCTTGTGGGATGATACTAGGGTCAGTAAGTAAAAAACCACACTTAGATATAGACATATCTAAATGCCTTGATGAAGATTCACATCTCTTCAACTTTGTCGACATTCCATGTGATAAAGATATAATAGAAACAAAAAACTGTGATATTAATGTAAGTAAAGAAATAATGTATAACAACAATATTAAAAAGGATGCATTGGAATGTGATAACATACCAGCTTCACCTACATCAACAACAATGATTAAATCGGTGTTTAAAAGATGTTTTGAAAGTACTTTTGACCCAAGAAATATTCAAAGGGTAGTGCTAGCAGAAAACTCTGATAGTGAATAGTTGTTGCTGATTAAAGTACTTAAACACTTAGTATAGAATTTTGTTTTTGTTGGGTGAAGAATGAAAGAGTAGGAAAATATTTCATCACTTGTAAATATATTTTATTACTTCATGATCTTTTCTTAATTTATTATGAAACTTTTTCCACTTTTACTAACAATTTTATAATATAAACTTTTTGAAATGCTATTTAAGCCTTATTGAATATATAAATGATTTACATAGTAAATTTAACTTTAGCACCATTAAAAAATTAATTAATAGGTGCTATTTATATTACTACAACTATCTTAACCTTGTGATAACAGACATGACTTTTTCATTATCATCTAAATTTGATTTTATTTTCCTCAAATCTAGATTTATCCAAATCTAATTACATAATATCTATTTTTTGAAATATAGTAAAAAAAATTGTTATTAACTGTATGTTAGAATAATGTTTAATATTTTGTTACGGCTTTGTATATCAATTTATGTATTATTTAAAATTAAGACTTGATTTGACGATGATGGTAGCCATTTGTTATGACAAATTTTTTTACATAAGTCTGCGACACTTGTCCAGACCAGTGAATACAAAAGTTGTTTGAAGACCTTTTATTATTAAATTTCAAGATAAATGATAAAAAAATATAGGTGGAAATTAAAAATCATCAGCACTGTATTGTTTTATAGTAAAAATATACATACACAAACAAAATTGTACACAAATCACATTTAACTATATTTGAAGGCATTAATTCAGCTAGTTATATACATATATATTTTGTTTCAATGTTTATTTAAAATAATAAAATTGTAAAATATTCTAAACCTTCAAAATAAATTTTAAATATTAGTTATGTGTAAATTTTATAACAGCAAATTGCAACATCACATATTTTGACAGGTATTTTATAAAATAATAATATATATTTTCTGCATATATTTCGTTTTATACAAAATATTTCCAAAAGCTATGTTCAACTACACTTTCCTAAGTAATTTTCTTAACAGCTATTCTCAAGTTTCACAATTCAATAGAAATTTCTTATATCTACTCCAATCAATGAACAAACACCATTGAACTATGCGTTATATTATCAAGTGCAGAATGGGCAAGGTATGATCAATATACAAAGATAATTTTACAAAATATGCATTTATTCAGACAAAATTATAAGGGTCGAATTTTAATACTAAAATTAGCACTAGCAAAAATATCATATGGAGTAGTGACAGATCATTGTCAATGTAATTAATGTTTCGGTAACCAACAATTTATACAAAGTTTACATTAACATGCAAATGCATATTACAATTTTAATACATAATTATTAGTGCTCATAGGTAGTGCAATAATCAACATTTTTGATGAATAATAAATAAAAGCTAAATTACTTCAGATTTGGTTTCTATTTTAAAGAGATCAAACTTTATATATACGAGAAGGTAAAGAACAAATGCAAATTCGTTTTTCTATAAAAATTATCATACACTTTTATTACAACAATAGCTAGCTAACATGTCTTAAAAAAGATGAAAAAGACCTTGGATTCTACTTTTAATTTATTATTTATAAAATACGGCAGCAATACCATTTAATTACAATAATTATTTATTTTAAATCAATTTCAATAATGTCTCTAGCCCAGGTGAGAGGGGGGGCTTGCACTTTGTCACAACGTGGCCTGCTTGCAACATTTGAATTGTGTCACCAAACACTCACTATCCAAATAAATCAATGAAAAAGGGCACACTGTTAATTAGGAACAATCCTCTTGGCTCTTTCTTACACACTGTGCTACTTTTCTTTTAAACTCCGAATATGATTGTCTCCACTCTTTCTGCAAAAAGAAATAGAATGAGCACGCAGCTACAACTGTCTAACTGGAGACTAGTGCTTTATTGAACCATGTGCAAACGAATGTAGAAAATGCTATCTCAATATATTGATTTGCTGTAGTGTCATATGGCCCTTTTTCAAAAGCAACATTGTTATATTTATAATTCCACTGCCCCTAGAAGCAATCTTCTTGACTTTTCCTAACACATCTGGCAACTTTCTTTTTGAAATCCGAATATCGCTCTCTCCATTCTTTCTGTGGATACAAACAAAAGTAAGTAGTTATTTATAACAAAAAACAAAGATGAATACAAAACAAAACTAAGAAAAATCTAATGGGCAAACATACAATTCATATTTTAAAATGCATTTACTATAAAACAATGATACTAGTAATATAAAACAACTAACATTTATTTTCAAACAACATCAAACACTGCAAATCATGCTATGCTATTTTACAAAAATATAGTAAAACATTAAAAACTTAAGTAATATAAAATGTAGTCTACATACTAATAGGTAAAAACAAACTAAAAACAGAGTAATAATTTAAAAAAATACCAACAAATGATCCTTTCTTTGTATGTGTCATAATTAAACAACTTACTGCAGCATCAACATTAGCAGGACTCTCGTCATTGGGATCAGCCAACATTGAAATGACACTTATAAGTATAGTTTCCACAGTGTGAACAGGTAACCATCTTTCTGAAGCTTTCTCATAGCCCCATTTGTCATCTCCTGGTTCATGTAATATTGATATACAAACATCACCATTCTTCTCAACTGAAATAGTTACTTTCATTGTTAAAAATGAAACAATGTTTCCTCTTTTTGATATTACAGAAGATACCAAACAGTCTTCATTACATAACATCATATAGTATAGTATTTAGTTGTATTCTATTTGTATGGCCTCCCAGATGATTTTTACTAATCAAGAATAAAGAGTAAATTAATTTCATTAATTCTACTTCAAATACATCCAAGTCACTTCTATTTGTACCATCAGTTCTATTTAGATATTTAATATGATCCTACTCAGACAAGTCTACTTTTTTTATCTTTATGAAATTTAAATCTCAATCACAATCGAGTGCAAAATTTACTCATATTTAAAGGAAACATCTGGGATTCACAAAGACCACTGTGAAAAAGCATCCTCAAATATAGTAGATGTGTATTAACCTCTGCTATTGTCCAAATTTTGAGGTAATATAAGTCTTACATTCCCTCATCCAATTTTTATAAAATAATAAATAAATCAAGTTAAGCATTCAAGTGCAAGCACCGTCCCATTGTCAATATAAAAAAGCAGAATAGAAGATACCACAAAAGATTTACTCACTATTTGGATGCCAAATTTCAGTCACAAACTTCATCCTTGGTGGCCTCAGAGGATACTCTTTTGGAAAGTATAAGTGTGCTTTGAAAAATCCACCCTCACTGTAAATATTATAGTCTTAACTATAGTTAAATGAATAAATTTCCTAAATTAAAGTATATTTATCCAATATTTACAACATTAAATGATTACTTTAAAAGTATGTATACTTTATATGACATCTATCAATAACTGTAAAATGTAATTTATTAAATTCTTTAATATAAATGTTGTCTATTGTCTGTTATGCAAATAAAAAAAAATTGTATAATTTACACAAAATCATTTTGGAAAATTATAGATATATTTAGATACTTTGCCCATGGCCCTTGATTAAGTTGACTTTGTTAAGAATATTATTATGAGAAATATTTTATTAACATATCACACATTAATTTCTATATGAATGTATAATTCACTACTTACTACAAAGTGTCTGGAGGACCGATAATAAGTACTTCCCATCTATAAATGTCATTGTCGTCTATTAATCCAGCAGAAAATCCTTCCACTGGATTTTTGTTCAGTTCTGGAAGTAATAAGTAAATGATAACTTAATGCAATGATAATGATAAATAACGTACAGTCAAAGCGTTTGATTCGTAACAACATACAAGATTATTACATTTTTAATTTACGTAGATCCAAATGTATCGTGAATCTTTGCCAAGTTAGCGTAAACAGTTCGAAACACCTAGTCATTTCTTTATTTGACTTTGGCAACGAATTTCTGTCATAGCGAATATTGATTTTAAATTCATGATTACGACTGTTGCATAAACGTATCGTTTACAGTAAAGCAACTACTAAAGTACAAATTTAAAAATATCTTTGCAGTTAACCATAATCATCTCTTAACTTCGGCACACTAAGGTCAATGATTGCATGGACACTTGATCGCTTGACGCTCACACAATGATGGCTCGCACAAATTATTTATGACTGTATACTACATTTACCTGCTAGTTGCTTTTTTAATAAAAGCGAAGACTGTTGGCTCTGACATTAATTACAATTATGAAATTTACCCTGACGACACAAAATTATAAATTTTCCCACAAAAGATGGCTGGCTGAGTTTTATGCAGTTTGTGAAACATATGAGTTGTTGCTTGTTTCCGGCGATTTGGTGTTACAATATACAATTTAAAAAAGCTACCATAACTTACTCTAAAATTTTGAAAATATAAAAGCATCCAAGTTGGATTTGCCCTGCTAACAAATTAGAAAAACATTATCTTAAGAAATAGCATTACTTATATTTACTTGATTTAAACAAGAAACTTTAAGATATAAATTAGAATTTTTTGGGGTGAGGTAAGCTTTTATACGCCACGGACTCAATGGGGAACAATGGAGTATGCATACGTCATACGTACACACAAGTACTCGAAGGACAAACACGACGCTTCCTTAAAAACCGGCCAAGTGCGAGGAATCGGACTCGCGCCGAAGGGTTCCTTACCATCACAATATCTTCCTTATAATTCTTCTGTACGTGTGTATGTCACTGAACTCATTCATTTTGTGTGTTCAGGTAGGTTCGAGAATGAGAGTTACAATTTAAAGACATGTGTAGAGGACGTCTGTCGAGTCCGCTGATATTTTATAAAACAAAGAGCTCCGCTGCATCTGTCTGTTCGCGATAAACTCAAAAACTATTGCACCGATTTTCATGCTGTTTTTACCAATGGGTAGAGTGGTGTTCGAGTTCGTTTATACGGGTAAAATATTATACGGGTTAAAAAAAAGAGAAGATAAACGAGAAGAGCAGGGACCGTTTTAATAATCCGATTAGAGATAGCGCCGTGGCCTCCGAAGAGTTGGTCTTCTCGTCGTCTTCGAATGCTTTGCTACTACCTGGCAGAAGTAAAGAGATCAGTAGTCAGTTGTAGCATAGCAACAGTGTGTTGTTAGTTATGCTTATGTCACTTAACTAAGCGGAAAATATAAAGTCGTTTCGTAAATATTATTATTTTTATTCGTAGACTGATAATAATACGTCCCATTAGCGCTAAAGGCATTCTGCTATAGCAGGTTATGGGCTGTTAGTTATTAAAATTGAATCTATTTCTGCAAAAGTGAACATTGGTCTGCTAGAAGGGAAAAGTAATTGGGAAAGGAGTTACAAAGTTTCTATTTTATTACGTGGCACAGAACGTACAATGGAGGACATTCAAACCTTTTGATGTGACACACCAAGTATCTACTGCTGATGGAAACACCATATGTGCTAAAGGAAAATGATCTATTATCATTAAGTCGAAAACGAATACAAGACGTGTGGTACGTTCCAGAGATCAAGAAAAACTTATTTTCAGTACTAACGGCACACGATAGCAATCCAAATATAGTGGTCACGTCCAGGATGGACATGTGTGAGATGAGCATCAGAGGCAATATTTGCTCAATAGGAAGGCGACGTTTCGACGGCGGTCTGTACAAGTTAGATGTTCAAAATGTCCAACCAGCTCAACCAAACGAAGTATGCCTGTCTACAGCCACTTTATAACTACGGTGGTGGGGCTACGCAGCAGCCTCGGCTGTTGCACGAGTGGGCAGGCTCGTCCGGGTAAGTACCACGACCTCACAGAAGACCGGCGTCAAGTGGATGTATAATACTTTCGCGTTTCGTCTGGTGAGTGAGGTAGCCGGAGCCAAATTTTTAAAAGGTTGTCAACACACCGGCAACCCTCGGGCGTAGCAGATGTCCTTGGGCAGTGATATTCACTTAACATCAGGTGAACCGCCTGCTCGTTTGGCAACTTTTCACATAGAAAAAAAATACCAAGACTTGGACATCAGATTATGAGGCATGTCAAGGAAGTTATCAAGAGAGAGTTAGATATCGATCTACCTTTGGATAAAGATCTTTGAAGGCTGCGTTTATAGGAAAGCTCACAGATTAAAGTTCAGTACGAGAACGAGAGCAACCGAACTCGGAGAATTAATCCATACCGACCTCTCTGAACCATTTAAACAAGGCTGTATCAATATTATGTACTTTTTAAAAACAACTACTCTAGCTATCGAATTAGAAGGCTATTCAAAGAATTGACCACGCTCAGCTCAGTAACAAATCTAAGCGTCGACAAAGAAGCTACAGTGAAATTAGCTCACAACCCTGAGTTCCATAAGAGAACCAAACATATTCGTTTGAGGCACTTCTTTGTGCGTGAGTAAGTTGCAAAAAATGTAATAGAAATTAGAAGAGTGAGTTCCTCTGAACAAATCGCGGATATTCTCACGAAATCTCTTCCAAGGGCACGGCTTAGTTAACCGAGGGAAAGTGTTGTAGCCTAGCAACAGTGTGTTGATAGTTATGTCACTTAACTAAGCGGAAAATATAAAGTCGTTTCGTAAATATAATTATTTTTATTCGTTGACTGATAATAATACGTTCATTAGCGCTAAACGCATTCTGCTATATCGAATTCTTAAAATCTTAACCAACGCAAATCCATAATAAAACACGCATTACAAAACCATGCTAGGCTAATTTACGAAAATGCTGTGTACAATTAAAGTTAGCAAAACCAAAGTAAAAAGTATTTCAAAAAATAGTACCTACATACAGTAGTCATAGAATAAGTAAACAACCTGTCAAAACAAAACAATCTGGTATGATCAAACGATCGTTACGATAAAGCCATTTTAAACTTGTTGGAATTCCATTATCATCTGATTTTGCTCAAAATATTTAGGTAATAGAATATAATTATATCACAATATAAACACCCACACAAGCGTGATGGGTGACATCCATAAGGGTTGGCAGGATTATGATAGGGATACAGGTGCAGCTTATAATTATGAGAATATATATCTACCAAGCTGCCTATTAAAATTGGGCCGCTAGTATTTCTAAACAAATTATTTTTAATTGATTTTTGGAAAAAATTTGGTATTTAGCAAATAGCCGATGAGCGCACTCATTCTACAGCCGGATCTTAGACCAGTGGCTGGAGGCGGTGAGAACCGCCCTGGAAAGCGGGTACGTGTACCTAGTGTACACGTTGTGTTGGTTTCGCCGTTCTGGAAGACGAGGACGAACTATGGTGTTTGTTGATGCACTGTGTAGTGGCGGGACCCCCCACGGTGGGTCAGATGTACTTAAGTTCCCTTCCTTGATCGGGTCGGTGAGGACGTTGCGCGGGCGACCCTTGTTGACATTCACGTTAGTGTCGGGTTGGTAATTTGCTGCGCTTACCACCAGTGGGTTGGGATGATGTTCGGCTCTGTCGAAGAACCATCTTTATGAGCGGATGAACTAATTTTGTACTATTTGCAACTTGTACAAGCGAGTAGGGTTTATGTGGGCGTAGGTCATGCACGAGTATGACAAAATAGGTCTTAAGCAGGCCTTATGTAATAATTGTAAAGCAAGCCATTGTGCCAAGCCTTGTCTAAGGCTTTTACGACATCGAAGAGAGCCCCAGTGCTTTTTGCACATGCTGGTTCAGAGATTTACTTCGTGCCGAAGTTTATATGTAGTGTTACAATCCACTGGCAACACTGCTTAATATACGAGCAATAACAATAATTATACTTAATAAACATTGAACCATATCTGGTATAATATTATGTAATAAACCATGCTTAATAATAATTTATAATTTAATAGGTCAATCTTATTAACTGTATTAGTAATTTAATAAGTGCATTGATTTGTAATGTAGTTGTGATGACTCATTATATTTTTGTATATAAGCGCATAATGTTTCAGTGATAGGGTAGAACACCACAGAGTACTTTGTAATATATGTAAATATATTACAAAGTATATATACTTTTCCAGTCAGATAATAGCTACCGATCGAGCCGAGGTCCGGCCCTCTCGGGCACCCTCGAATCGGAATGCTAAACGCGTGCTGAGTGACAGCCCAAGCCGAGGTCCCCTCTCGGGGACCCTTGAGCCTGATCACTCCATGGAGCGCCCGCCAAAGCGCCCTAAGAGCTTGGCGGCCTCCCAAACCGGTGATAATAATAGCGTGACGGCCCGAGCCGAGGCTCCCCCGGGAACCCTCGAGCTTAGTCACCATAACGCGTAATAATAGTACGCAGAGGTTCAGGCTAGGCGCCTCGTGCGCCATGCCACCTCAAGTCCGTCGGATCTGTAAAGGCCCCTAAGGCCAACAGTGGCTCATCCAGCCAAAAAAAAAAAAAAAAAAAAAAAACAGTGATAGGGTAGAACACTCTTATCCTTTGTATAGGACGTTACTCTGTCCTAATAAGTAGGAAGTAGTCTAAGCGAGTTTTTTTTTGGTAAAATAGTGAGGATAGCGTTAACAACTTTAATATATAAAGTTGTTAACGCTATCCTCACTATTTTATTTTGGCCGACCAACCTACAGTCTTTAATAGTATGTTAGAGAGGATATCTATTCTCGTCGTCTCGGCAGAAGGGGAGGTGTGGACCTTTCCAGCATTTGGCTCGGAAAACTCGAAATCACCGATTGCCAAGGTGGTGTACCTTGATATTTGACGGTCCACCACTGCGCATTTATTACGCAATTTTCTGTCCCACACACAGGGCCAGATTTAGAGTTCTGGAGGCCTCGGGGCAACTAAGGAGTGGAGCCCTTTGGCCTCAAATTATTTTCCATTGCATTCTGTTAATGTTTAATGTAATCATATTTGTACTAAGTACTGTAAGTAGACGTAAAACACGAAAAAAAAATACAAGAAAGGAAAAATTGTTTACAAGTATTTACTAGTCTGAATTTGAATTATTTTATTTCCGATGTCTCTGTTGTGGGGGTCCCTCTTTTGTGAAGGTCCCGGGGCCGTAGCCTCGGTTGCCCTCCCCTAAATCCGGCCCTGCCCAAACAACTACATTGCGGAACCGGTTGTCGCCAGCGTTTTTCCGGACTGATACGACTTGGCCACCTGAAAGAAGAGTACCTTCTACTACCTCAAGGGCCAGCAACGCAGTTGTGACACCTCAATTGTTGCAAGTGTCCATGGCCGTCAGTGAACACTTACCATCACGTGACCCACTTGGTCGATTGCCTCAAGTTTCCTTAGAGAAAATGGTAAAGAGAAGTCTGAAACTCATATGTCTTATACTATGTGACGTACTCAGTATATGACGTACAATGAGATTGACCGGAAGAAGCGGAACCTAGTGTATCGCATAAATATGGGCAAAAGGAAGGATGCAACTTGTGCATACTTATTTAATATCAAATTATTATTAAGACCATAAATTTTATCAAATTACTATTAATACCATCAATTTTATAGTGAAAGTATAGACAAAAATGCTAGGTAACAAGATTAAATAAAACAAGACAAGATAAAATTATGTACTGCACTTCATAAAATACGTGTAAATACATAGATTAATTATTATTTATTCACTGGTATTGTCATCTTTCTTAACCTTTTTTGGTTTTGGTTCAGAAAGGGCATTTGTTTGATATTGTTTTCTTTTGTTTTTCTTTTTTTCTCTTTTCTTTTGTTTTTGATTTGGTTGGTTTTTAACAACTTGATTGTTATTTTCAAATTTTGCTGTACTCTTTATTTTAGACAGAGAATCAAGTAAGTTTTTAAAATTTAAGTGTGTTTTAATATTGCAACTCTCATGAAAAGCTTTCATTGTATTAATCAACTTTCTTAATGATGTAATAAAGTTATTTTTAACTTTGAACTCTTCATCCTCTTCAATGATACCAGCAAGTTTCTGCTCAAATTCAGTTTCTAAGTTAGATAACTTTTTTAATATATTTTCTGATGTTGGCTTGTACCTATTTAGGGCTCTATAAAATCCAGTCATTAAATCAATTCCTTCATTACGACGAAAATGTCTAACATCCTTATTAAACACATTGTCTATAATTATGGGAATAAAGTCAAAGTTGCCATCCCATTCTGATTGTAAAATATTGTGGAAGAAAATTATAGGAAGTAAACAATTTCTACTCCTAAAATAGTTCTGTAGAGCATCTTTGTAAATGTTAATAAGTGGGGAATATTGCTTTTTCTTGACCGGTGTGTTGTTCATTATTTTAAGTGAACAATGAATTATAAATGTTGCAAAATAAGTAATTACATCACCTAAAGCTTGGAACATGAAATGTGATCTAGACCCTTTTTCAATAGTTGATTTCAGATAATCACATAAGATATCAATATTGACATCATGTGTAGATGAAAATTTTCTGATTTTACACAAATTCTTAATAGTCTTCCTAATACGATTTTCGAGTTCAATAAACTGATTGTCTTGAATACAAAACTCCAGGCTTCTTGTTAATGGTGTTATCATTGCTAGGCACACATCCATTGCAGGATCTTTCTCCAAATAAATGTCAATCAAATCTAAAACTTTGACCCTAAAATCTGACAAAGCTTTTTTATCTTTTCGTTCTTTCTTTGATTTTTTAGGTTTTCCTTGGTGGAATTGTTTAAAGGCTTCTGCTAATGCTTCGTCGAGTTTCTTACCCTCTTCCTCGTTAATTTCATCTGCGTCCACACTTTCGGTATCAGTGTCTGGGGCGGCAGCTCCTAAGGCTTTCTGTACAGCCATTCTTAACTGATCTGGGGTTTTCATTTCCTGATCATCATCATCATCATCAGCCATATTACTATCAGTATCATCGCTATCGTCAGTTTCGATATCACCATTTGTTTTTTCCGCTTCTTCCGTTTCGTAATTATTATCATCCGCAACAGACTCGCTTTCTTCATCGTTTTCATCGTCCGATTCGCTGTCTTGAGTAAGTGGATTTGCTTCACTTTCTGGATCTATAACAGATACTATTTGCCCAATTGATGACGGTGTCAAAAATTCCCATAACAATCGGAATACACATTGTACAACTGAGCGAAGGACACTGGACTCAACTGACAAAATAGACAACAAAACTTCAACTAACACTTCAATCCACTCGGGCTCCTCGCTCAAAGTGTTTTGTTTATTATTTTTTACTATCTTACTCTTTTTCCTATAATGCTCATAGCAACTTTTTAACTCTTTTATGGCGCTGCTAGCAACTTTCACGTGCGTCGGCTCTGAGAATAAGAACAAACCTAATTGGTACAATAATATCAAAAACACCTTATCAATTTTTGATTTGGAACTGAAATCTTCTATTTTTTGACATATTTCTGTTATCATTTCCCAGCATTCCATATTTTCATTTGTAAATTGTTTTTCAATCTTTTTCCTCACTGGTTCTTTTTGCAAAATAGTTGAAATGAAATTGCTTAATGATGAAAGTACAACCACTAAGTTGTCGACATTGGAAAAGCGGGAGGTAAAACATCGATAAAAGCAGGTCTTGATTGCACCTAAAATAGACATCATATTAAATAAATTTTACTTTGTATACATTTTTTTCAAACAATTGTAATTTATACCAGTAATAGGGAACCATCACATTACAAAATATAAACTTAACAGTTTACAAGTGAAATTTGATTTTATATTAATGTTAAGAATTAAAATAAATTACCTGCTAGTTCCACACTAACTGAAATATTTTCATCACCACCAATTTTAAAAAAACCAAAGCACATTAGTAATTTCATATAAGTAATTTTTAATTCTGTGTCATCTTTGACAGATTCATGGCTCACTAAAAATGATAGAAGCTCAGCAGCCTTTACCCTTTCATTGTTGTACCAACTTCGATCAACATTTTCTTTGATGTTTTTTTTTGATTTGTTAACTAAAACATTTTTTAACAGCTTAGCCATTTTTTTCACCCCATCTGCGTCTAAATCTGCAATAATTGATTTGATAATAGTGGTACCAGTTATCTCCGAAAAATTTATTTCTCCAGGATTAAATAAAAGTTTGTTCAGAGTATCTATTCTGGTTTTACCAGTGACTTTCTCTGACTTCAATGTTTTGGCTAAGGCATTGAGCAGTTCTTTTTGTTTCTTAATCATAATTTTATTGTCATCTTCATTATCTCTTATGCTTCTGATTTTACTAGCCGTTTGGAGACCTTTAAACCAGTCCATAAATAATTTAAAAAAGTTTTTACTCAACAAATCAGGAATTACATGGACATTTTCATCCAAATTTTGGAGAATTGCATTAAGTAAATTAATGCAGACAAGTTCTCTGTTCCTGTTGTGCTTGATAAGTTGACTGTCAATCCCTTCTTCCCAGAATGTTTTTAAATGTGGTGACTTTGCAATATGTGCACCAATTTCTTTGTAAACTGGGTGATTTACAGAGCTTAAATCTATACCGGCCTATAAGAATAATAAATATATTTAAATTACACTGCAGATGGTCTATTTCAAAATCATAATGCTTCTTAATAAATCATCATCACCTTACCAGTAAGTTTTCGCTTATTACTTGTAGATTATCTTCATGCAATAACTCCGATGTGCCCAAAAGTTTTTTTACTTTCACCTTTTTAGGAAACTTTTTGCTGACAATTAAAATGAAGTATAGGCAGTCTAAGTTATATTCCTTTATGTCCTTCTTAAAGCCTTCCTTGATGTTCGACCATACAACTGATGTAAATTGTTCTTCATCAAGCTAAAAATATAAAACATAAGTATTCCAGTCTTTATTTGACATTTCATAAAGTTCTTTTATAAATATTTACCTTATTTAATTAAAAAGTTAAATATTTATACATAAAAATCATATAAAAAAAATTTCTTACACATTCTTGAATTGAACATTACTTATCAAATCTTTTGCTTGCCTCATTAAAATTAAAAATGCTGATGGAAGCCATCTTTAAACATAATTATTAATTATTATTTTATTCCATCTTGTCTTATTCATATAAATTAAAGAAATAATTCAACTTACACTATTGATAAAATCAATTAATAATAGGAATGCAACTGTGCATAGATATGACTTTTTGGCACTAGCTGTCATAAGAATGTTCAATACTTGTTTCTGTTCTTCTTCTGAGCATTTTAGCATGCGACCTGAACGGAAAATTGCACTACATATAAGAATTTGCCCAAGGGCAACATCTCCAACTTCCTGAAAATTTAAAATATACAGTGGTTTGAAGACAAATATAAACTGATTCTTTCAACAAATATATTCCATGAAATAAAGACTAATGTAATGGATGTACTATTTTTTATATGGGACTCTTTGTCACTCTTTCCTGGCCGGCACCCACCAGGTGAGACTGCTAAAGTGCATCAGCTTTTAGAACTATCACTATCATACTGCCGGATATTTTGGCATTGTGTCAATGCATTTCTTTTGGTCAAAACCAGCTATTTGCAATGTCAGCTGTCCATTTGTTGTATATTTTGGGCACATTGGGTACATCAAATATTTAGGCTTTTCTGACTGTTTTTTAACCTTAATTCAACCTGGTCAGCACTGGACTGCCAACCCCCCCTGGTTGATGGTAAGCATGCTAGCTCAGTAAAAACCTATTCACTCTTGCATGTTGTTTCGGACGGAAAGATGGATGCCGGCAGATTGTTCCGTTCCATAGCTAATTAATTAATTAGAGCTTGTGGTGCTTCCTTGGAAAAACATGACCATTATTACAACAGCAGAAACTGCTGCAGGGCCCAACCCCAGTACTATTAAAATACTATAAATAGCTAGCTATAAAATAAAATGTAATATACACTTACACTCTTGGATGATCCATTAGCATGCAATTCCTTTTTAATTAATTCAAATAATTGTGAAACAGGTATCTGCTCAAACTTGACTAACAATGCTACAAGTGTGGCAAAGTATCCTGCTCTCATATCGGGAATGTTAGCACCAAGACTCCTAACAATTCTCTTGAGGACATACTGGACATTTTTTTCACCCTGGAAAAAAGATGATATTTGTAGCACTCTGTGTGATTAATAAAAGATTCCCTTTAAATTAATTAAAGGGAATCTTTTATTGTCAAATAATAGTAATCTAACTTTTTTGTTGTACTCCAGTACAACAAAAAAGTATTAATATATATATTAATAAATGACTAAACATATAATGAAAGCATTACATTGGAAAATTTTACAAACTTGTAAAATTCCCCGAGTTGAATACCTAAATGTAACGTAATTATAGAATTATTTTGTACACTGTGTACTTGTTAAATTGAAAAATAAAAATAATGTAAAATAAACTTCGTGATCTAAAGTAGCCTTCTTCTTTTTTCTCATAATGATTAACATGCATGATAGCACAACAGTCAGAAAGTCAGAAACATCCTTGATTATATGTATTTCTATAAACTGAGTAATATGAGAAAAGTTGTTTTTATAAAAAAAATTGCATCATTAAATTACCAGATACAACCCCGTTAACAAATGTGCTAGTAAATTACCAATTAATCATTTCATCAAAAACATTTTTTTATTATGTTAAAATTAAAAGTTTTCAAATAGCCAAAAACTTAAGTTAATTTATCTTTAATTTCGCTGAAGAAAAGAGATAATCCATCATAAGGGCGATTCAGGCAATAATTTCATTGATGTTACGCGAAAAATGTTATATTTCATATAATCAATATAAAACCATTACAGGGCCTACAACAATTTGATTAAAAGAAATAAATTTGAGGAATTTAGCTATAGTAAAATCATTCTTTACGAATTCAAAGTATTTTAAACCTGCTATAGACATATAAATAAAAAACTAACCTCATCGTTCAAGAGGCGTGATATTATTTTTACACCACCATTTAATTTTACATCATCTTTAGAAGATTTCAACAACTCAAAGGCATCTAATAAAGATGATGTTACTCCTAAATATTGCGTATTTGTTTCTTCATTCATTTTATTGTTATATCATTTCAACGATGTTAAATTATTTTAATAAAACAAGGCCGTGTTACTAAACCAATGTGACATGTGTGTGAAGTGAAATGTCATAGACACATGGTATTTCATTGGTTATTGGCAACTGGCAGTTCTGTTCAGTGTTGCAATTGTCAATATCATTGTTATTAATATTTGTTTATTAAAATCAATATTGGTAATACTATTTAACATAAAAATAAGTCATCCTATACGGATTAATCAATATTGAAATTGTTTTGAGGCCAATCACATAATTCATTAGATATAAATGTATATATATACTCATGAGAACCTAATAATAATAACGACAATAAATGAACACACCTAAAGAGGATAACTTTTTAAAATTGTATTAAAGATTACATTCTTTAAACATCAACATTTAACGAGTTATCAAATTTTCCAATACAAAGAACTTTAGAACATCATTATGTATAAAACTTTAATGTAAAGTTTATTTGTAAAGGTCACAAAGCATATGAATGGGTTGAATGAATTTAAAAGAGACAAAACATACTGTTAGAAGGAGAGGTTTGTAATGCGGCGCTGTGGCAACGAATGAAAAAGTCTGAATGTATGAATCAGTCCGATGTAGTTGTATAGGATGTTACAAATTTTGTTTCTTTTTCACTTAATTAGTTTGTTTGAAAAATATTTTTTTTAACAATGAATTTTTTTTAACGTTAATATATTTTTAAGATTATTGGCAAGTAGCGTTAGATGTGTGTTAATTTATAAAGATTTAATTTGTAAAGATCACAAAGCATATGGGTTGAATGAATTTAAAAGAGACAAAACATACTGTAATACGACGCTGTGACGCGAGTTGTATAGGGATGTTACAAATTTTGTTTCTTTTTTACGTAATTACTTTGTTTGAAAAACATTTTTTTTTAATTATGGATTTTGTTTAACGTTAATATTTTTTTATAATTATTGGCAAGTAGCGTTAGACGTGTGTTCATTTATTGTCGCAATGGTAACGACACGCTGTATATAGCCAAGCCGTGATACCTCAGTGTCCAGGCGCTCGCCTTTATTTCAATATACTCGAGCAACCTGAGTCCGATCCCCGGTGCCGACACCAATGAAGGTTTTAACTTTAAGTGCTGACTTATCACGTGCTCCGCGGTGAAGGAAAACATCGTGAGGAAACCTGCATATTTTCGAAAAAATAAACAAAAAAAAAATATATTTTTCGAAGATATGTGAAGTCCGCCAATCCGCAGTGGGGCCGCGTGGTGGACGGTGCCCTGATGTCCTCTGTATAGAGGAGGCCTTTTCCCAGCAGTGGGACATGTATAGGCTTTACTTTACTTTTATTTTTATAGGTAGCACGATCCTGAGCCACTTCTTGCATTCAGCGACTTCCTACACCTTTGCACAGGTTATCATTCTATCTTATAGGGGGTCGTCTTAGACTGCGATGGCCAGGCCAGATGGTACGAGGCCTGCCACTCGAGAACCTTTCTAAGAATTTTGAAGTTATAGACCTATACTTCTTTTGGTACGTTTGGAAAAAAATGAGAGTCAAATTTTTATGATGCGTGCACACCGACACCGGGACGGTAAAGTTGGTTGATAAGTGGCCAACTTTACAGTATCATCACCAGGGCAACCAATAAAAACTATTTGGCATTTACGTATAATTCGAAGTTAGTTATTTTTCTTTTGTAATAAAGATATACAAATTCATGAATAAATTATTAACTTATATAATTAATGGTAAGCGATAGTTCTTTATTAGTATGTCCATCACTTGTTAGCAACTATTGCGAAGAAGAGAAAGACCTGAAAATGCACCTCGAGGTTTTGTACTTACACTAAAGTGACAAACACTTGTCATCCTCTTTTTAGGGTTCCGTACCCAAAGGATAAAATGGGACCCTATTACTTAGACTCCGCTGTCTGTCTGTCACCAGGCTATATCTCAAGATAGTTACACAGTTGAAATTTTTACACATGATGTATTTCTGTTGCCGCTATAATAGTAAATACTAAAAAATAGTAAAAAATATTTAAGTGGGGCTCCCACACCACAGTTATGATTTTTTGCCATTTTTATAGATAACGAGCTGCTATTCGCGGCTTCAACCGCGCGACCAGAAGGAATTAACAATGAGCTCTTTATTATAAAGTACTTAGTTGATACTTATCATTACCTATATTTTGTACAATTTACACAATATCTTTATATATTATAGCCTTTGTGTTATTCTGATGTATAAGCTATATTATTGTTGATTGATCAATTTAAACTCAAAATTAAAAGTGAACTCAAGGCTAAGGCATACTATACCATTGCGGAATATCTTGACGCCAATACTACTACTGTTACTACTGTTGCTGACTTGATACTGTTGATACTCACGTAGGCTAAAATAAGACACCTGTTTTATGATATTGTAAACTAATCGCCTTAAAAAAGAGCAACTGTTGAGTTTCTTGCCGGTTCCTTCTCAACAGGAACTGCTTTCTGAACCGGTAGTAACTTACGAACGTATTAATTTTTATGTAAACTATTGACGTTTCATTAGAACGCGCAAGCGTCTATGTGAATAAATATATTTTTGATTTGATTTTGATTTTTGTAATGTTTCATTAAAATCTATTCAGTAGTTTTCGTGTGAAAGAGTAACAAACATCCATCCATACATACAAACTTTCGCCTTTATAATATTAGTTAGGACTTTTAAAGTTTTTTATATTGCTAATCTCTGCACTTAAGATTAAACATTAAAACTTGTAGAAAAAGTACGAAAAGATTGTCACCGCTGTGGGAATCGAACCCACATCTTCGGCATTCGCGGCCTGACGCTTTAGCCACTAAGCTAAACGGCTGATTGCAACGCCGACGAAAATCATCTCTAACAAAATTTATCAATTTTGGAGCAAAGATACGATAATAGAGTTTCTTTTTGAAGACGGTTCTTTTTTTTCTTAAAAAAACTTGAAATTAATTTATATTTAGTGATTTAATTTTAATTCTTAGGTATTATAAAATATGCGTAGACCTAGCAAACACGCTGCTCATATGAGAAAAGTTCAAACTGAAACTGGGACTGAAAGAGAAAACGATTAAAAGCAGCAAGGAAAAAAGCCTCTAAGCATTTCAAAAATGAGAGCCCTGTAAAGTATAGTAATAGCCTGTACATATACAGAGGTCTCCTTTGTACAGAGGGTATCAGGGCATAACCCACACGAGGCCCCACTGCAGATTGGCGGACTTCACATATATTCGAAACACTTTTTTTGTTATGTCGAAAATATGCAGGTTTTCTCTCACGATGTTTTCTACTTACTACTTCTGTTCTCTACTTCACAATTTTGCTGACCTTTCAATTGTGCCCTATCAGTAAAAATCTTGATTATGTGACCGCTCTATGCTCACTCAAAGAAATGACCAATAAAATAAATAAAAAAGAAATGCCAATTTTGATGGACAAAAAGTGACTTATTATAGTTGCGTTAATCACAGCGCCACAAATTACCCGGTTGAGTTTTTAAATTCACTTACTGCAAGTGGCCTTCCCGTGCATAAAATCACTCAGTCAGTGTTCTTATAATACTTCTAAGAAACCTTACTCCACCTAAATATTGCAGTGGCGGGTTCCATTTTCAGTTTCTAATAGTAACTTCCCTATAATAGAAAATAATTAAAACTAAGATTTTGACTGGGTGTGGCTTTTTTAATGTGATAGGGTGGTATGCGTGCTGTCGTTTCACCTGATGTTTGATTACTGTGTACCAGTCGGGTTGCAGATGCGTTGATACGATTTAATAAAGCGGGCTCCGGTTACTTCACTTGCAAGACGAAACATAGAAGCATAAGACGTCAACTACTATGAGGTCGTGGTACTTCCCCGGACGGATCTGCCCATTCGTGCAAAAGCGAAGACAGTTGTGGGGCCCAAACACAGAAACTGGCTCAGGCAAAATTGGGAATATTCTGCAAATACCGCTCATTCCCAACAATATACCATTCTAATTCAACTACAATAATATATAATTGGGAATATTCTGCAAATACCGCTCATTCCCAACAAATTACCATACTAATTCAACTACACACATTTTCCAGTAGCAGCTTGCTTTGTAATGACTATAAAATAAATCTCAGGCACAGACCTTAAAGGCAGTTGGTGCTGACTTAAGGTCTAACTATGTTTCCCACGCCCAATTGTACGTTGTGTGCTCGTGTGTCAGTAAAGCGGACAATTTATACATAATAACTACAGAACTTATCATCTGTCTGTGTTTTAGTCTGAATGTTATGCCATATTCTACGCACTACGAAGACTTAATCGCCGGCAGCAGCTCATCATAATAATTTAAATTAAAGCTCCAAACATAAAATTACTTAGTTAAATAAACTTAGTTCTTTACTAAATTACATTTACCTTAATGTTCATATTTTGTAAACTCTTTTAACAAGCCATAGATATCACATTGAAATATATGATCTGTTTTTTCTAGAAACGGTAAAAATCTTTATAATGTACACATTTTGATTTTTTTTATAATTTGTTTAAAAAAATTCAAATATAACTTGCAAATCACTATCGATAATGGACTAAATTTAAGTAATATGTTTTCTTTAAAACAATCGGCATTCTCTTTATGATGTTCCATAGATGTTATTTTGCGAGAACAAATCCGTCTTGCGAATTCGGACACATCCAGAAAATGATGCGCGCGCATTTAGTATTCCATGTTTCTAAACATGGCAGGTCGTAGTGGATTTGACGATGGTAATCCCAGGTATTTATTTTAAAAATACGATTATAATTATTCTATTTATTTTTACTCCCTTTATAGCCATTATACATTTATATTACTTATTGACAATTTTATTTTTCGGCCGTCTTCGTTTTACTACATTTTTTTGTCGGAGGATAACATTGAAAGAAAGTGATATTTTACCAAAACGTGTGAATATTAAACATTTACACTGCCAGTTTTTACATTCGCGAGCCGTTAATCTATAAAACAATAAAAGCAACTGCATTTATTAAAAGTTATAGGTTATAAATTCCTTGGTTATCATAATGCGTACAGGGACTTTGGAGGCGGTAGGAGAACTCTTGGCGGGCGTCCGCTCCCTAGCGAGCCTCCATACAAGGCCTATGTTGGAAATTTACCCTCCGGCATCATTCAGGGTGATATTAATAGAATCTTTCCTGTAAGTAATAACTATTAAAATTTTTCTATCACTAATATAAATTTTGACATGAAGCAAATAATTACAAAAAGTCATAGCAAAAAAGTGTCTTTAATTTCATTTAAAGAGCTTAAAATAATTTTAGATGTTCATGCTAATGTATTAAAAGTGTAGCAAGATAAGTCTTGTAAAACAAGCTATTCTTAATTCTATTGTTTAAAGTGAAATCTTAATCAGTGATTATGTCATATATATTCACAATAGTAATTTCATGATGGATTAGTGATTTGGATAAAACAAAACTGATTTAGAAAATGCTTAAGAATGCGATGGTGAAAAGTTTCAATTTTGTCTAAACATTACCCCTGTTGTTGGTGAGAATTGTTTAAATTCTATGGAATAATGATTAAATTTGAGATGGGATAGACCTTTGAAATGGAGAGTCTATTTCTTTATTTACCTATAATATTGATTGGATTGGGATATAATTTCTAAAGACCAAAATTCTTATCTTTGCAATCATTATAGTTTTTGTGTGCCAATGAACTGAATTTTTTATATAAAAGAAGCTAAGAATTAATTTCTGTTTGGTGGCACATAATTTATTTCATAGTCTACCATTTTCTTGTGAGAGACTATGTTGTACATATTTCACCTAAATTAAGTCTATGGCATTGCCAATCAAATAATAGTTAACATATTTTTAATTAACTATGATTTGAATGGCCAATTTTATATATCTTGTTTCTTGCAAATGTTTATTACTGAAAAACCATAATTTTATACAAATGATTTTCTGATTAATATTTAAGACTGAAATCAAAAACTTAATTATTCGAAAGAAAAAGATTTTATTATTGTATTAATGTTTAATTATTTTATTAAAATTTCTTTCAGGATTTGGCCATTAAAAATGTCAGACTGGTTATGGATAAAGAAACAGACAAATTTAAAGGATTTTGCTATGTAGAGTTTGAATACTTAGACGATTTAGTAAAAGCCATTGAAATGAATGGTGTGCTAAATGTAGACGGTAATTTTGTAAAAATTGATGTAGCTGAAGAAAAAAGAAGTGACAGGTGAGAAACTATTGTTCACTTAAAGTATTTTTTAATTTGTGTAAACAGATTTTGTTTTCAAATGAATTACACCACTATGCATTACAGTTTACAGATATTTAAAAATTAAGAAAATCTTTCATATTTTTTTCTATGAAATGTTGGCACGCAAGTAGGCATTCACCCAATTTTTATTGATTAACATCACCCATGAACATCATAAACACCTGAAGAATTATAGTTGCATTGCCAATATATATAAAAATGTTTTCCTGATTTATATGATGAAATGCAAAAGTATGATAATAGTAATAATAAATATTTTTGTGGACACATTTTTACACAACATTCGCTACCAGTCCCAAACTAAGCAACACTTGTACTATGGGTACTAGAAAACTGATAAACACACTTTTCTTTTATAAATAAATACATATTATAGTTATATAAACACTGTTTCTGGGACACAAGAAAAACAGTATGTTTACCACACAATATTTTTCCAGTAGTGGGGATCGAACCCACACCTCTGGCGCAAGAAGCTTCACTAGCTTAGCTAGGTTCACTATTCCCCACTATTCCCCTGACTGAGATTAAACTGCACAGTTGTTGTTGGCTTCAGTCCTAAACTTTGACATGATATGTGATGTGTGTTACGCAGTAGGTAGTGTACATTTATCTAAATGATATTAAACTATGATGATGTTGGTAGCATTATGTTGTTTGCATCTTATAAAAGCTAGGAGTATCTGTGTATGTTGTACATATATATATATATATATATATAAAACAATGATTCCTGATTTTGAAGTGATCTTTTGCTGTGCATCATTTACTTAAGAGTTGCATGTGTATTTTGTATTATTTATATTGGCTTGAATCAGCTTCACGAAGTGAAAGCTCTTTCAATTGTGATTTTTTATTATACAAAAATATACACAGTTTTATATTTATATGGGAATTACATTAGTTCAGAATATTTGCGACCTGAGTTAAATCATTATTGCTTATTGTTGTCTGCCAAAGCCACCATGATCTGAAGTTCACGGTTGGGGTTCATTCTTACCTGTATTGAGGTCGTGCACAGAAAATTTTCAGCTTTTAAGAGGCTTTCCAACTTAGGGCATTTAACCCCAAATTTAGTGTGGAAGTATGGATATTGGGCTTTTTTACGGTCCAAAAAAGTTCTGGAGGTGAATAATATTTCATGCATCAACAACTATTTGTGTGGGAATCGAACCTGCGAACCCCTAACCCCGACGACGAAGCAACTGCTATAGCCTTGGCAACGGCGCAGCGGAGTCCAAATGGCAGTAATTTTTCCCAAACGTGTCAAAATAAGTAATAACTTGAAAAACAAGAATTGTGGTCGGTTAAAGGGGTGGTGGCTTCGACCGTGGGCGACGCGACGGCCGCGATGGCGCCCGCGACGGCGGCCGCGGGGGCGGTTTCAGACGGGAGGGGGGCGGCGGCGGCGGCGGGGGAGGGGGTCGCGGTATGTACGAGCACTTCGACGGGCTCGAACGCAGGGGCCCCAGGCACCAGGGTGGAGGGCTCATCAATGGTAACACCACTAACACATCGGTAGACCACCCAACGAGTAGAGAAGACTTGTTAATATCGCAAATATCCTAAAATGTAGCGCGATTTATAAAAGTAAAGTCTCAGATGGAAACTGATCCAATATTTTTAATACATATACAAGGAATTATGTGAAATTAAAGAATAAAGGATCACAGCATAATATAATTTATCAAGATAATCAAGTTTACATTCATTCTGTACAATTTGAGAATGAGTAAGTAGAAAGTCTATTCCAATCTCTGCTCATTGCTTCAATTTTAACACAAGTCATCTCTTTTTGTGCTCATTCACACAAATTTTTCATGAAACACATCTTCATGGACTTCATTGGACTAAGTCTCCTTATGCATGTTCACTGCATTTTTGATAGTAATTACATTATCAAACACAAAAGATCAATCTAATCTAAACCATAATACACCCATCAAATTCAATGTAAATGTATATCCAGTAATTAATTTTGTTTCAGTAAGGATGGAACTATTGTTTAAACTTGACAGGGATGTTTTTAAATCAACAATATATTTCAAAGTATTCCACTGCATGTAACGGAGTAGCAAAAACATATAAACTAAGCAATGAAAATGGATGATTTAACAGCTCTTCCTTATTAACTCATATACATTCTCATATACTCATAAAAATTCCATTTTAAACTACACTAACAATTGACCTTCAATATTTGTATATTAAGATTTTTGTGTTTTTGTCTGTGCCGTAATAACTCAATGTCCGGGTGTTTGCTTTTAATTCAAAATCCTCTAGCCACCTGAGTTCAAATCCCAGTGCCCACACTAATGGAATTGTTTATTTGAAGTGTTGAATTATCACATGCTCAGCGGTGAACGAAAACGTCGTGAGCAAACCTGCATATTTTCGAAATAATAGCAAAAAAAATATTTCGAAGATATTTGATGTCCGCCAATCTAATACCAATTTTAATTATAAGAAATCCTTTTGAAAAATTAGCGACGTTCAGAGACAGACTATAAATTTTTAATGACAATCTAATTAATATTATTTGATACCTTTTGTTTCTTATGGTCAAAGGTAGCCCTCAAATTTCAACATGATAAGGTACATGGCTTATTATTGTTTAAAATGTTAGTTTTATTTTAAATTAAGCTAAAACTTGATTGGCAGAAGCTACACATTCAAGTTAAGACTTGTGAGACCCATTTTAAACCCTCGTTTCCGTTCTAATTTCATATATTAGTGGGTAAAAAGAGTTTAACACAATTTGTTTTCGCTGTAACATGATAAGAGATTTATTAATTAATCACATAATGGGATATGATAAAATCATTTTTGTGGCATGAAAACAGGTCAATTAAATCTATAATTAATTAGATGAAATACATCTAAACCTTTTTTTTTATGCGAAAAGTTGTCAAACGACCAAACGGTTCACCTGATGTTAAGTGAATACCGCCGCCCATGGACATCTGCCACACCAGAGGGTTACAGATGCGTTGGCAACCTTTTGAAAATTGGGCTCCGGCTACCTCACTCACCAGACGAAACGCAAAAGTATTAGTCCTACTTCCACCTTATGCTGGTCTTCTGTGAGGTCGTGGTACTTACCCGGACGGGCTTGCCCATTCGTGCAACAGCCCAGGCTGCTGCGTGGCCCCGCCACCGTCACCTTCCACTTGAATCACTCTATCTAGTAAAAAAACCGCACCAACCGTTGCGTAGTTTTAAAGATCTAAGTATACATATGGACAGATGGACAGCGGGACATGTAGTGATACTCGATACGGCAGTTAGTGAATCTTTCGGGTGCAGAGCGCGAGCGTGGCGGCTCGTCGGGGGGCGGCGGGCCGGGGGGCGCGGGCGCCGGGGGTGAGCGGTGGGCGGAGCGCGGTCGCGGCGGGGAGGAGGTGCGCGGCGGCGAGTGGGGGCGCATGGGCCGTGGGGGGGGCGCAGCGCCGCCGCCCGCCAAGCCGCGGCGCACCTTCGACGACATGCCGCCCGCCAGGCCCGGTGAGTGACCACACGCAAGCACGCATTAACACACACACACCAGCTATACTTATAGGCACCCCGTACGTCTTGCAAACAAAAATGCCTGGCGCAAAGCTACCATAGCGCAATTAGTTGATCTCGACGTCGCATATTTGCTGCGTACTATACCCGCATACATAATATGTCAGTTATCAAGAAGGCCAACACCAACCATTAGCTTGAATGCATCAGTAAATAGTGTACAATACATGTACGTCCTTAATTGATTATAACTACATAATTTCACCCCAAAAGTGAAATGATTCCAATTTAATTACGATAAGGGGCCATCCAGGCTTTTTTTAGCATTTCTTATCCCCCCTCCTCCCCCTTGGTGATACGTGGTGAAGCTTAAGACTAGCTCCCACCCCCACCCAAAATCACGTGTATTTTTAGTACCTACGAAGAATATTAAAATTTTTGGAATATTATCTTCAACTTTTCTTTTTAGCGCGTCTGGCGAAAAAATAAATACACCATTCGAGCCTCACGTGATTAATGGACGGCTCCTAAGATTGTTTCACGCAGGCTACTGTTACTGATGAAAATGGTTGGATGTGATTCCAGACAATATTTTAGGCTGGCATCACATACCGCACCCATATGACAGGTTCATTGTCAGCTTGAGTATATAAAACTGTATGTGTAAACAATTCCATTACAGACACCTCGGGCAGGCCAAAGATTGTATTGGCGCCGAGAACAGTTAAGGAGCCAGTGAACTCCCTTGCGTCAACGAGCCAGGCCTCTTCGATATTCGGGGGCGCACGGCCGAGAGAAGAGCGGCTTAAAGAGCTAGCGGGGGAGTAAAGTACCCAAATCCACGTCTTCTCCTCCTCCTATGTGTATATGTATCTTTCCGACGCCCTCTGATGATCATCTACCTAAATATTCACTGTGCAAAGCATATTTTGTACATGAGCAGAATGGATTTTTATTAGGTTGTAAATCATTTTTATCATATTTGTATTTTGTTAGCTTTATTATGTCTCTTACTTATGAGCTTATTTAATTGCGCGCCATAAGAAAATTGGCTTATGTATTTAAAATGCTAGTGTTCTCCTTTCGGCCTCTAATTTTGATTGTTCAGGCTATTGTGTGTATGAAAAGCAATTTCTTATAGCACATTCAAAAATTCAATTCAGAGTGAATTGTTACTTTCTATTTTGGTTAATATTGTTATAACAATATGTCTTAAAATCTTGATTTTTTTAATTACTGCTATTTATGTTGCATTCGGAGAGCTTCATAATAGTTTCTCTGTTGTAATGATTTACTTGTTTTTTTTTGTTAGTCGTGAAAAATTAATCATTGAGTAAGTAATTATGAAGGATAATTTAAGACTTGATAATGTGGTAATGTAATTATGGTGTCATTAATAAATTTAACTTCCACGTACTTGGATTCTACTTTATTAAATATATGTGTAATTGTCATAAGTTACGTGGCGGTGAAAAAAAAAAATCGCAAAATTGTAACAGATACTAGAAAATTTAATAAAAAGTGAACTCTTTGTAACCGTGAATTTGTCTACGAAACCTTGTATCACAACCGCCTTTACTCATTTTTCGAAAATAAAACAATATTGTCCCAAATTTATCCAAATACTAGACATTTGTAACAGCCTAAAAATGTCCTACAGCTAGGCAAAGGCCGCCTCTGTACACAGGGTATCAGGGCATAGACCACCACGCGGCCCCGCTGCCGATTGGCGGACTTCACATATCTTCGAAATATTTTTTTTTGGTAATTATTTTGAAAACATGTAGATTTTCTCTCGATGTTTTTCTTCTCGGCCGAGCTCGTGATCAGCACGTAAAATTAACAAATTCATTGGTGCTGGCACCGGGGATCGAACGCCTGGTGCTCGAGTAAATTGAATTAAAGGAGCACATTTTAATAAAACAACTTAAAAGTATTCATTACGTTTAAAATTTAAAGTAACGCAAATACTAAATTTAAGAAATTATTTATAGCTGCAGCTAAATAAAAAATGTATTTCTCAGTATGCGATACTGAGGCGATGGCTACCTAAACTGGCCGATAACATTAATTATAAAAATGTCATTTGAGAAAGGTGTCTGCTGTAAGCCTGCCTGCCCATTGAAGTGGGGCGAGCGAGTATTGCGGAGTTGCGGAATGTACTGATCGGTCAGAAAATATATAAATTTCTAAACTAGCTCGCGTATACACTGCAACGGAGCAGAGATTTCGTACAATAATATTGGTTAATATTTATTCGTTTCTCCGCTCCGAAGCTTCGCTCCGCTTCAGTCGACAGGCAGCCTAAACGAAGCACATATGGGCACCAAGCATGACTGAAAATGCAGTAAAACCAAAGTAGATCAGACGTTGAGACTTTCTTGGGGTGAAGTTATCGGTCGTAAAGTTAAGTGATAATCTAGGCGGCGCTGTTTTAAATTTATCATCCCATTCATAGTTTTTTTTTTGTTGTCCAAGTTGACGCGAGTTCCGACGCGCGAATTTCGCCGAATCGAAGCGTGACGTTCATTTATTACGAATCTTATTAGTGGTGGGCCGTGGCGTACTATCGATAATATCGTGCGAGGCTTTCGAAACCTTCTGGACCACAATGGTGAATTTGCAAAATGTCCAAAATGTTGAATTTCCCACCCAGATCACAATGTTGAATTCCTAAGAAGTTGGAAGTTGCGAGATGAATCCTAACTGTTAAATTGCTGGGTGTACACCTTTATTATTCCGTGTTGTATGGTACTATCTGGGACATGTCGAAATAGTGCAAAAAGAAAGAAAATCAAGAAAAAAAGTCGAAATCCAACAAAAAAAAAAAAGAAACAACTTTTGTGTTACATTTATTTATTTAAGTAAGTAGTAAAACACAATAAGTACTAAAAGATGTACATTCATGTCCTGTCTCGGTTCAAAATTTTTATGTCAGTTTTATCATAACATAAATATGAGTCACGATCTTCGGCAGTGGGGGAACGACTAAGAAGACAAGAAGAAATCGTAACAAACTTTTTTTTCTGCTTTAATTTTTATCAACTTTTCATAGTGCGCTTAAGATGAAACAAGTTTTGTAGAATCGAACCCGTGTTTTTTCGGTATGGCGCCCAGATAAAGCACTTTAACTTATTCGTTTTAAAACAGCATAATTATGTATGTCGTTGTGAAGTCGTTTATAATTTCCATGGAACGCGGCCTTTTTTAAAAGCAATGTTGGCAGTGGCGTAGCTATGTGGACAAGTGCCTCGGTGCAAAGAGAAACCGCCCTCCCCCCCTACTCCTTAATCTTCTCTTTCGAATTAGTTTAAATTATATTGGCCGATTGGCCCTCAAACTTATAGATAGACATAAGAAAAGAACACAGTGACTTGAACTTATTGCTACTATAATACGAGTAAGTCTTTACGTCGTATGATGGGTAGAATCACTGTGTTTAAGGAATTTTATAGTTGCACTATTTTTTTTTAGTACAAATTTGTTTATTATATGACAAAGCGTTATAATTATCTGTGAGTTCCATAAGATTCTAACAGATGGTGGTTTAAGGTAAATTAATTGCCTAGATTGAGTAAGTATGCAATAGATGGCGCAGACGAAGTACCGTGGGTCAGCTAGTCTGATTGTTAAAATATCATCGTCTTTAGTTTTCAAATATTTAAATGTTACTATGAAAAGGTGGTCCTTTACTGTAAAGGAAAAACTCTCGATTGCGCCAAACAGATACGTCGTTTATCTCAGTGGTTAGAGCGTCGGTCGCGTATCCCGGAGAACACAGATGCAAATCATCTTTTCTTTTTTTATACTACGAGATTTAAATTTCATGGTGCAGAGAACAGCACTATAAAAATTAATATCACTAAAAATATCATTATAGTTATATCCTGTTTACTAGTTTTTTTACATGATACATCAAGAAGTTAACTATAAGACAAGGAAATTGCAGGTAACAATTAACGGCGTTACATCAAAATAATAATAATTTATTAGCAGTGCAAAATTTAATACATATTCAAGGTAGGTAAGATTTTAATTTTTTAGTTATAGTCTCCACCGTTGCATGAATGGGCTGGCTCGTCCGGGTAAGTACTACAACCTCATAGAAGACCAACATGAAGTGCACTGTGGGAGTGTTATATTTCGTGTTTTGTGATTGATGTACCCTTGTTATTTGCAAATTGCAATGGGCAATGGTAATCACTTAGCATCAGGTGAAGCGCCTGTTCACTTAATAACTTACCACATAAGAAAAGTCAATTTCATTACTGTCATTTCCACGAAACATTGTGTTTTCGTTTTTTCGCCAACAATATTGAAGTCTAATACTTGAGAAGTTTCTTCTATTTGTGTTTTATGGCAAAAATAGTCACATATAGTGTTAGAAATTGCCTGTACAAGAGAATTTGCATTTTGCATTGAATGGCATTAAAAACCAAAATATTTAGATAAAAACTTAGTTGGAAGGTATTGGTGACTCATCATTGATACATACATATATTTATAAAATGAAGAAACGGTTTTAAATTACAGTTCTGTATTATATGTCAAGATCATCATCTGGATCTTCATCATCCCAATCATCAACTGCATCTGGTTCATAGAAAACTTGACCCTTGCCCTCATTGATTTTGCTCATATAGGGAAGTTTTAATTTATGCTTTTCCAACTGCTGTGTTTGATCAACTTCTATTTTGAAAGTTGAAAGGGTTCCTGGTGATGGTTTTTCTGCCTCATTATCTTTTATTACCTCCTTTATTAGTCTCTCACATTTCAAAACAGAGGTGTTATTGTCATAGGATAGTAGTTCTTCAGTGAATGTAAGCCTATTGCCTATTTTAAGCTGTACAGAAATTATAGATGCATTTGTATTGTTAAATGTTACAATTGCATTGGATATATGTTTTAAATGTTTTTCTGATTTGGAATGCATTTGCAGACAATCTCTATGTAAGACTATTAATATTTTTCTAACATTATTGTTATGCTGAAGTCTTTTGATAAACATTAGACATTTTTGCCAACCCATGTGCAATATCATCTGATTGATAGAATCAAACAAAATACAACATGGTGTATTTGTGTACTCATTAAATTTCTCTTCAATAAACTCGTCGTGAAATTCAGTAGTTTGTTGATGGAAAACATTTTTCCAAAGACTTGGAGATTGTTCATAACAGAAAATATTTATATGGAGGTTATCTGGCAGTGTACTTTTTAATAGCGGCAAAATATTAATATTGTAATCATCTTCAAAGATAATCGTAGAAGCGGACCTTAATTTGAATAAAGTCATTTCTATAATTAAAGCCCCTGGAAGTTTGTTATATTATTAGACAAGTTTTAGGTATATATTTATCTATTTTCCAAGATTTCCGAATATCTTTACGAAACGTCAAAGTTTTCTTTTATTAATAAAGTTTAGCGGCGTGGGATTTGTCCATACATCTTATTCATCATTACATATGTTTGTTTTCTTTAAGTTCACGCAGTGTGCTATGTAGCTCAGTGGGTTTTAATGGCTTCATCGGAAGACGTCCGTCCATGGTAATTTAAGAGGCTTGGGCGTTGGCAGTATTTTTCGACAATAATGAAAAAATACAATTATCTGTGGGTCACATTAATCAGTTAGCGTGTAGCGGACCCACGACCCACGGGGCCAAAGCTTGGCAGTTCTGCCATGAAATTATTCTTGGTAAGCTAATGAACGAAAAAAAAGAGAAGGTTATATATAAGAAATATTTATTTTGTCCTCTTGTAACTAACTTTTAATTAATCAATGACTTTATTGAATCAAACTAGCAATATGACAATTTCATGATTTT